ACTGCCCCCCCCCCCCCACACACACACACACCGCGGTAACATGCACCGACACCAGAGCACAACCAGAAACCAACCCCCCCAGTGTTGCTTTAACACATTAAAATGGCACCTTAGATGTGTGCTAACTATAGCGTGTTAACATTACAGGTGTGTTAATTAAAGTTCCTTCTTTCTGAATTCTCAACACAAATGTGAACGAGGCCTTAAATATATACAGTGTGTAACAACTGAAACCATGCATCACATGAATATTAGATTCTTTATGATTAAGAGGGTTCGGATATATTCATCTACAGGTAGACTCAGGCCATGTAACAACTTCAAGTACATGTTGTCTTCCTGGATGGTGAACACACTGACAGGGAGGTCAAATAGTATGTTCTTTACTAGCAATGTGGGAATACGGATGAAGAATGTAGAATCAGTATGACTGGGTTATATTGGGTTTACATGGCTGTATTAAAATAGGACACTCATTGGCCAGTTCCTAAGGCAGCAAGATAAAAGAAAGCAACAGCAAAACTCACTTTCCTGCAAACTCAGTAACAATTTAAGAAATAAATGTTTTTTATGTTGTCTGCCACATACAATGCTGTTTTAACACCTCTCTCTGAGCAGGTTAATAACACCTCCTAGCTCCAATTATGCAAATGCAATCAACACCTGGTTGCCACTAACAGATTATGTGGATTGGAACAACATTCACCATATTTATTCCCAGATAATTTCTGTCATTCTGCATTGAGAAAGTGAAACGTCTTCAAGAAAAATACCGCAAGTCCAGTTGCCTTGACTTATTTTTTACAGATAATTTAAGAAAGAGATACAGTGATATCAATTGGCCCAAAGCCGTTTCCTAATGCTGATAATTTAAGTGATATTAAAGTCAAAAGGTTTTTAAGATAGTGAAAATGCAGATGAAATCACTTACAATGGATACTGCTCCTTGATGGTCAACATTTTTTGTTTCATGTAGAATCAGTTGGTCCCCTGAGCACTGGCTCAGATATTTAGGGTGGCTCCTTTCCCTTGCAGGGTCCGATAGAGACACCCTTGCGTGTGCTAGTAAGCTGTGTGTGTCTCCACAAACACACAGCAAGGCAAGACACTTCCCTTCTCCTGCTCCTTCTCCAAGCTAGTAGATGGAAAGTTGCTGGAGACTGCTCTGTTCCTTGTGATTTTGTACTGGACAGGAGGTTTAGGGAAGCAGAGGTGAGAGAGATGGAGCCAGCTGTTTGGAAACATGATGACTGTGTTTGGGCAACATATAAAGTGTTCAGGACAATGTATAGTTGTTTGATCTGGGTTTGAGAGTTTAATTGTACTTTCAGCAAAAACAAAATATTTCCATCATTTACAACTACTTTAGACACTAGGAGACTCACTTATAAAGGAACAGTAAGGCTTTACTGGGCCATACTTCTACTACAAAAAACACACATTTATAAAGCACGGTGGTTTGGTTTACAAATGTGCATTCCATTCTGGTGGTTTAGAGCAGCATTCAAATGAATGAATGAAAAAAAAAATGAGAGCATGAGAACCTGGAACTCATCAAATTATGTGACTGGCCTCTCCTCCAGTCATGCCTCAGCATTCACCACCACTGTGCTAATGTGCATTTCCGTGCTCTTTATCACTACAGTGTTGCGCCCTTCCATATTTAATGACCTGGCACACTTTTGGCAGTCTATTCTTAACAAAAAAAGTACGTCATGAGCTTCCCTCCTCATTGTTAGGACATTCATATACTTTTATTGTTAAGTTTCAGTGTTTTTCTCCCCCATCTTTATATGTTTTGAAATATCATGTTATAATTGGCATCTGAAGCGATCTTTCGTACACAAAATCTTAATTCCCTGTAGGAATCTTCCTATCTCACATGTCCAGCGTATGTCTTTTTGTAGCCATACTAAGCCCTGATGACGCCCGAAACACATTGTTTTTTATGAATCGAGGCCACAAATAATGTTTTATTTTGGCTCAACACAACTGGCCTCTGCCGCTTTCCTCCTTGTTTTTTAATAGTCAGAAACTGCCCAATTTGCAGCCTGCTCTGGCATTATAAATATCTCCCATTACGTCTCATACTCTGTTTCTTTTCTGGATGGATAGGTCACTGGCTGCAAGTTCTGATATCATTAGATCTTGAAGGATACATATGAAACTGACCTGATTGAGTCATATTTGGTTTACTGGAAAGGGGGAAGGTGAGGGATACTTGGCATGACTGCACTATGGAGGATAGGCTGAGAATTCAGAACGCTGGCATAAATTCCCGGCAACACTAACAAAAAAGATGACATTTGTAGAAATGGGTCAGGCATAAAATTTTTCTGGTGTCAAATTATGTGTGCGCAGAAGCGAAACCTACATTTAACATCTCCACAGGGCGATTGTCTATAAATGTCCTTGGCTGGCATAATAAAATTCAAGAGATTTCCTAAAATACTGCAGAGAGGTAGTTCTCAGCTACTCATACGCAAGGACACAAAATATGGTACAAAGTGTATTTTCCCACCATTACAGGCTGATGCAACTGCTGCGTTCCTGAATCATTAAAGGAGAACTATGGGGTTAAGGCTTTTCCCCATAGTTCTCCTTAGGGTAATGGGAGGACACAAACTAGCGTCCTCCTGTCACCCTAAGCTCAGTATACCGCGAGCTACTGCTGGCGGTATACTGAGACGCCGCAGCTGAAGCGGATCCAATTATGCCGGGATCCGCCCAGCTGCGTGAGTGACAGCTGGCTCTGCCTATCTAGAGGCAGAGCCATCTGTACCCGTTCCCTCCCCCGTCCGATCCACCAGTCAGCGCTGGCGGATCGGTGCGGGGAGGGGGGAATCCAGCCCCTCCCCTGTCACGGCAGAGAGCTGTAACAGGATCGAGAGGGGAGCGAACGCCGGTATGTGTTCGTTCACCTGCCGATCTACTGAGCCACAGGTCGGCTAGAACTATGAGGTGAGTGAAAATCACTCACCTCATAGTTCTCCTTTAAGGTACAACTCCAAGCAAAAATTAAAACACAAAATGGGGCAAACAAATACAACATAAAAGGAAAAAGTAACAGGCACCTAGGTAGAACATTCTTGTGCCATGTAAAGTCAGTGTAAAGCTGGGACTACACCGTTCAATTTTTTTTGTTCAACCGTGGGCTAAACCAGAAAAATAGAACAGATTCCTCCATCAACGTTTATGAGCGTTGATGGACGAATCCCCCCCAGTTTTCTTTGTATCCTCCGGCGGCTGCTGTCAGAATACACGAAAGGAAATAGCAGCTGTTTGGCTGCTAGCTCCATTTGGCCAATAATTATCTGACATGTTCATTCCATCAGCTGCTCGAGGGATGCCAGTTGGAAGACTGCCATCAGAGGCACCCATGCAGCAAATTTCGGCTGGTTCATCAAGAACCGTCCGAAATCCGAAGAGTGTATACCCGGCTTTAGGCCCATTTCACATGGCCAGTCCGATTAGATCCGTATGTCACGTTTTTCAGGCAGATCTGATCGGAAGCCTAACGTAACTCTATGGGCAGCCTGTCTGTGAACCTTCTCATTTATCCAGGTCATGGTATATCTGTAAAAAATAAGTCAAGGCAACTGGACTTGCTGTATTTTTCTTGAAGACGTTTCAAATTATTTTTTACAAATATCTATGGGCACCCAGATGTAAACGGACGGGCATCTGTTTACCTCTAATTACCCCAGACTCTGACCTGATGATGATGGATTGGAGGTAATCAGATGTAAATAGAAAATAGACACGTCTGATTCGACTCCCAATAGACCTAACATGGGCCTGTACATCTCACTGTTTGCCTCCATTTAACAATGAAAGAAAACACGGAACTGACACGGATGTCACAAGAGTTTCATGCTGCTCCAATCAGCAGGAGATCTGTGCACTGATCTCCTGGTGATTTCA